CCTAGTTTTGTGAGCGAGGCGATTGGCTGGTGCGGCGGACCTCTGCGGACTTGAGTGGCTATTAGAAGTCTCCAATTGTCCTGTCCTATTAGGATCCTTGGGTTGCCGGAGTCATATATTAGTTGCTTCTTCAGGTCTTTTAAATGTTTGCAATTTGCTATATCTGCTGCACACACAGTCTGTGGCCCCAAGTTTAGGCTGGCGACCGTGCGTGCTCTGAATGGCACCCTTTTTCTGTGGAGACTCTTCAGCGAAACTGACTCTTCGGGAGTCCGGCGAATCAAGGGTAGTGTTCCCGATAGCGGTGATCTTAAAAGGGTCCAACCGCCCTGTAGCTCCGATTTGTTTGGCAATTTCCTCATCCATCAATGAGACTGTTGACCCATCATCCAGCAGGGCGTGTGTGTTTACAGCTCCCTTGTCGATAAAAATGCAATTTGCCATTTTTATCGACATCTCCTTCTTTAAATTTGTTACAGTCGGATCCGTAATGACCCTCTTTTTCGCACACTCTGCATTTCGGAGACGGCTTAGTGGTAGCCGCGTGTGTTCTGTGTACTGAACGATTGATTTGCGCTCCGTTTATAATTTCAGGAGGCGCAAACGCACTGCAGAAGCGAGCTTATTCAGTGATAAACTCGCTGAAGGAACAGAGGTCTGGTTTAGAGTCGTATTTTTCAGTGTAGATTCTATACCATTGTGCACGTATAGAGTTTGGCAATTTGTCGGTGAGGTGTCGTAGCAGCTTTGCGTTAACGAGGTAATGGTCTCGTTTGAGTGCTCGTAGAGTGACGACGCTTCCCCTCACTTTGCTCGCGAATGTGCAGATGTCTCTAGGTGCTTCTGTACAGCGTGGCAATCCTCGTAATTTCTCAGTTTCGGCTTGTGCAATTGAATCTGGACGCCCAAATTGTAGCTCCACTTCTCGCATAATCTCATCTGGCTTAACATGCCCGATGAGTTCTGAGCTGACTGTTTCCAAGGCTCTTCCTTGTAGACTTCTTCGTAGTCTTGCAGTATTTTCGATGTCATTGAAGTAGCCTCGGGTGGTCTCGTAAATGGCACGGAACGAAAGCCATTCAGTATCTGCTCCGCTAAAGCTCGGCAGTGTCATTATAGCTTTCGACGCTGCGAAAGTATGCGACGATAGTGATGCACTCTCTGGTTTTGATTTGTCAGCGAGTGCGGCTATAGCGGATGTGAGCTCCGATATAAATGGTCGGAGCCCTCTGTATTCATTAATGACAGGTGCCTGGTTAGGCTTCGTTGGTATGGGATTCTTCGGTACATCTTCCGGATAGGGATCCTGGTAGGCGAGCTCTGGTACAATTGGTAGGAACCCCTGTCTTCATCAACCTTGCAGTCCTGGCTAATCTTCTGTGGCATAGGATTCTTGGGTACATCTTCCGGATAGGGATCCTGGTAGGTGAGCTCTGATACAATTGGTAGGAGCCCCCTGTCTTCATCAACCTTCGAATCCTGGTTTGTGAGCTTCTTTTGCGGCTCACTGAGGTCGACAACCTCCGGGGGTGGCTTTGTGACGGTTTTATTAAGTGGGGCCTCCCTCCCCTCCGGTGGTGGCGCGCCTTGAGTTGGATTTTGCTTGGCTACGGAATTTTCGAGCCAAGATCGGACGTACTCACTTTTGCAGTGACCATCTTCATCATAGTCGTCAGATTCATCTTCTTCTTCAGCCATCTGTAAGGAGATCTGTGCGAGTTCCAATTTGATTCTCAACACTTCTTCAAGAGCCTTCAAAACTTTTCTATTGGGCCGAATAGTCTTCTTTGACTTTGAATTTCTATCAGGGTGGCCCCTCGGTGGCTCTTCGGCGCGGGTATCTTCCCGGGCTGTTTTACGTGCACACATGCTTAAGGTGGCACAAGTCGCGGGCTCGAACTCGCTGGTGGGCGCGGCCAAAAAGCACGCTGTCTCACCTGGCATCGTGCCCGACAGAGATAGTATCAGTGAAGAGCATATCGACACTAATATTCACGCACGTCTTGTTCGTACGGCGTTCCGAACCATTCGAACAAAAACGAAGTTACACGAACACGATGCACCATCTATAGGTACTAATATAATAAAGCAGAAGAGTGTTTTTGTTTGTTTAAACGTGCTAATCTCTGAAACTACTAGTCCGATTTGAAAAATCTTTTTGGATATTATAGCCAGATTCATGTTGAATAGTATAGGCTATATTATATAGCATTAGGCTATATATCTCAGCTAGCCTATATTTGTTAAGCAAGTTAGAAGAAAAAGCCCCAAATGATTTAACCGCGTACACTGGTGTTATGGTTCGGGATACGTAAATACAATGGTCTAGAAAAATATAGATCTTTACTCCGTCTAAAAAAAATTCCGCGATACCATATGTCTATTTCTTATATATAAGCCACTATTAGGCATTTTGTGACAAAAAAAAATTAAAATTTAATTATTAGGCATGGCACATTTATCCTTACGAACTTCGATCAACAATACCAACTAGATATCGGGTCGGCGCAAAAAATACGGCGAAGTAAATAACAGCGCACTGGAGACGTGAGTTCTTATTTCGTTTTGGTTGACTTGAAACACAGCCAATATAAAGACGTTTCACAATGCCGCAATGTATATTTAAAAGTTGCAAGAATAATGCCCGAAAAAGCAATTTAAAAGCCGGAGTGTCTTACTTTCGGTAAATACATGGAGAATAAGTTATATTTTAAGCTCTAAACTAACAACTATTATCATATTTGAAACAAAATTACCGATTTTAAAGCACCCCTACAAATGTTTTGCCAAGTTTAGCCAATACACGCGTAAACATTTGTAAAACAGAACAGTAGAGTACATGGAGTAGATTTGTATTGTAATCATTTTTAGTAATTTGTTACCAGAACTTTAAATAATGGTAATTGTTACTTTTTTCTCTGTTTGTGTAATTTCATTACATACTTAGCTTTATTATTTTTATTTTAAGAATCCGTAAGTTGAACAATGTATTGAAGTAAGGTTACGGCAACCACCGGTAAACCGAAGTATGCATGGCGATCTGAAATCGATTAATCGAAGAATCGATTTTTGGAACCTACAAGATCGATTTTTTAAATCGATATGTAGTACTGAATCGATTCGGTGAATCGATATTTCACCCTTGAAAATCGACATTCGATTTTTTTTGGTATAAACCATAAAACTATTTACAATTAATTGAAGGTATCCGTATTATAAGAGTGCTGCCGGTTAAAGAATTAATTATTCAAAAACTCGCGAGATGGCTGTATGTTTAGATTCCTTCGCATCTCTTGAATAAAAAAAGTTACGTTTGTAGTCTTTGACTCTTTGACTTTTTGCGTCATGCCAGCCATAATTTATTTTTGGTATTTATTTCATTTGTTTATTGTTGATTGATTGAGTGATTCTCGTAAAGCGATATAAATACTAATTTTTATGTAGTGTTTGTTGCGGAATAATAACTAATTGAGACTAAGTAGGTAAGTAAAGCGCTTTATTTTGTTTTTTACTTTCGTGCTATTATTTTCAGTTTAATCTATTAGTTGTGATCATTAAATCTAACCATGTATGTAATTCATTTACGTTTAGATACGAATAATCAATATTGGGCATTGAAATAACTAATAAGTAAGTCATATGTGGAATTCCTTAAGGAAGTATGCATACTTACTTCTACTATTATGTCCATTTATCTATATAACCTCAAATTGTTTATTTTGTTTACATAGAAAGTAATAGTAAAGCCCTGATTATCTTTTTAAAAATAAACTACCGAAATTACTTTAATCTTATTTTTATCAAGTAAAATCGGTCTGCGGTCACCTACAATAATATATAAAATATATATAAATAAATAAATACATATTTGGTAGGTAAGAAGGCCAGGCTAAGGATGGGTGGGCAAATCTTTCCGAAAAAAATCGATTTTAAAATCTGATAAACCTATAAAGGTTTTTTTTTTTACAAAAAACTATTACTTCTATTTAATTGTTTTACTATTTAAATGTTTTACTAATCTTTCATATAAAGTCTTCTTTTAAATTGTTTAGGAATTGATGCTAATAGGATTTTGAATATTACTTAAAACTAGTAGGTAACTAATTACTAAAAATTTCGTTGTTTATCAAATTTAATGAGGAAAAAATGTATTTTTTCAGCTTTTTACAAAATTTTAACAAAATTTGAACAAAATAAGAATTAATGTTCAATAAATCAAAGTAATATATTTTTTATTTTAGGTTTTTGATGACATGGCTTTAGGCATCGTGCCAGTTCCAGATTCTCAAAATGTTGATAATTCGGATACTGAAAGCGTGGCTTCTTCTTCTGTCTCTGTATCAGTCTTAAAACAGCCAACATTGACATCTTGCTTAACAAATATAAAATCATTTCGAGGTAAGACAAGAAACTGAAATATTCTTTTTAATAAATTTTCATGAAAGTGAGATGTATAGATACAGGATCGAAAATTATAACTTTTTTTTTAATTTTCAGATAATGGTGTTAAAAGTAGTCAACTAGCCAATGCAATAGTCTTCATGATAGCAAAGGATGGCTTGCCTCTCTAAATACTGTGGAAAAAACAGGATTTCAATATTTGATGAAAGTAGTGGCACCGCTATATAAAGTTCCAGCCAGAAAAACAATTACCCACATGATTGATGATAAATATAACGTTCTTTCAGCACAACTGAAATTAAAAATACAAGAAGTAGAAGCACTATCTTTGACTGCAGATGTTTGGACCGACACGAATAATAGTCAAAGCTACTTAGGCTTAACTGGTCATTGTATATATGAAAATAAATTAATGAGCATAATTTTCGGTGCAACTGCTCTAACAGAACCACACAATGCTGACTACTTAGCACAAGTAGTTAATTATTAATATGACAGAAAAATGGGACATCACAAGTGACAAAGTGGTAGCGTTTATCACGGACAATGGCGCTAATATCGTTAAAGCAGTCACAAATGTTTATGGCAAAAATAAACACATGCCATGCTTTGCTCATACATTAAACCTAGTAGCATCAAAACCATTTGACAATAAGGATGGACTAGACGAAGCCAAGAATTTATTAACAGCTGTTAAAGATATTACTAAATATTTTAAACAAAATACAAATGCTGCTGACTCTTTAAAGAAAGCTCAGGATCACCAAACAAAGCCTTTGGGGCTTATTCAATCTGTGTGTACCAGATGGAATTCTATTTTTTATCAATTAGAACGATTTGTTGAGTTATCCGAAATAATTGCGCCAATATTACTCAAGTATCCTAAAGCTCCAACAATGCTTACTGCACAGCAGTTAGAATTCATAAAAGATCTTATAAATATATTGAGACCATTAGAAGTAATAACTAAGGAAATATCTGGAGAAAACTATGTTACAGCCAGTAAAATTATACCAATCGTATCTTGTCTGACTGAAACATATAATACAATGGAAAATTCAACCGATATTGGTGCTAAAACACGAACTTTAATAGCAGACGGCCTTAAAAAAAGATTTGGAATGGTCGAACAAGTTCATTTGTTAGCTGCTGCGACCATTTTAGATCCTAGATTTAAAAAAATTCATTTTACTGACCATGTCGCCTGTTCTCGAGCAATAAATAGAATAAACACTTCAATTTTAGATATTACGCGGCAACAACTTCCACAAAATAATAGCGAAGAAGTCGACGCCATTGAAGAGACTGGTAATGATATGAAAAAAGGAATTTGGGATTTTCATAAGTTGCTTGTGAAAAAGCAACTCTCTTTATGTACTGCACATGCACAGGAAAGTGAAGGCTTAAATGAAGAATTTAAACACTATTTATCGCAGGCAGTTGTGCACCTAAATTATGATCCTATACTCTACTGGCAAGAACAAAAAAACTCTATTTATCACTAAGTTCACTCAATAGCCGTGATGTATATGAGTATCGTAGGATCATCTGTTCCTTGTGAGCGCCTTTTCTCAATTGCCGGAAACATCGCAACAGATGAGCGAAACCGCTTGGATCCCTGTAGACTTGATAGACTGTTGTTTTTAAAAAGTTTAGAAATTAAGCATTGGGAACTATAAGCTACATTATCTATTAACTTTGTAAACGATTTTTCTTAACCATTTTCTTAACTCTGTAAAATTTCTAAATGTAGAAAATAAATGTCTTATTTTATACTTTATCTGTTAGTTTGACATGGTAATGAAAATATTTTTTATTATCGAATTACCTGATTTTACTGATAAGAGATCGTTAAATTATAATATGTACCTTGTTTTTAATAAAATATTACATTATAAACGAAAACTTGAAAAAAAGATCGATTTTTCGGAAATCGATCTTATAAACCTCGATTTTTTTGTGAACCTATTCATTAGGTCACGATTCGAATCGATTTAAAAATCGATCTTTTTCGAAAAGAATCGGCCTCCCTAAACCGAAGCAGACAACAAATGGAAAGCAACGATGACATTCGCTGTGCATCACCGCCAACAGCCCGGGAAGATACCCACCCGCGCCGAAGAGCCACCGAGGGGCCACCCCGATAGAAGTACAAAGTCAAAGAAGACCATTCGGCCCAATAGAAAAGTTGTGAAGGCTCGTGAAGAAGTGTTGAGAATCAAATTGGAACTCGCACAGATCTCCTTACAGATGGCTGAAGAAGAAGATGAATCTGACGACTATGATGAAGACGGTCACTCCAAAAGTGAGTACGTCCGATCTTGGCTCGAAAATTCCGTAGCCAAGCAAAATCCAACTCAAGGCGCCACCACCGGAGGGGAGGGAGGCCCCACTTAATAAAACCGTCACAAAGCCACCCCCGGAGGTTGTCGACCTCAGTGAGCCGCAAAAGAAGCTCACAAACCAGGATTCGAAGGTTGATGAAGACAGGGGGCTCCTACCAATTGTATCAGAGCTCACCTACCAGGATCCCTATCCGGAAGATGTGCCCAAGAATCCTATGCCACAGAAGATTAGCCAGGACTGCAAGGTTGATGAAGACAGGGGGCTCCTACCAATTGTACCAGAGCTCGCCTACCAGGATCCCTATCCGGAAGATGTACCGAAGAATCCCATACCAACGAAGCCTAACCAGGCACCTGTCATTAATGAATACAGAGGGCTCCGACCATTTATATCGGAGCTCACATCCGCTATAGCCGCACTCGCTGACAAATCAAAACCAGAGAGTGCATCACTATCGTCGCATACTTTCGCAGCGTCGAAAGCTATAATGACACTGCCGAGCTTTAGCGGAGCAGATACCGAATGGCTTTCGTTCCGTGCCATTTACGAGACCACCCGAGGCTACTTCAATGACATCGAAAATACTGCAAGAATACGAAGAAGTCTACAAGGAAGAGCCTTGGAAACAGTCAGCTCAGAACTCATCGGGCATGTTAAGCCAGATGAGATTATGCGAGAAGTGGAGCTACAATTTGGGCGTCCAGATTCAATTGCACAAGCCGAAACCGAGAAATTACGAGGATTGCCACGCTGTACAGAAGCACCTAGAGACATCTGCACATTCGCGAGCAAAGTGAGGGGAAGCGTCGTCACTCTACGAGCACTCAAACGAGACCATTACCTCGTTAACGCAAAGCTGCTACGACACCTCACCGACAAATTGCCAAACTCTATACGTGCACAATGGTATAGAATCTACACTGAAAAATACGACTCTAAACCAGACCTCGGTTCCTTCAGCGAGTTTATCACTGAATAAGCTCGCTTCTGCAGTGCGTTTGCGCCTCCTGAAATTATAAACGGAGCGCAAATCAATCGTTCAGTACACAGAACACACGCGGCTACCACTAAGCCGTCTCCGAAATGCAGAGTGTGCGAAAAAGAGGGTCATTACGGATCCGACTGTAACAAATTTAAAGAAGGAGATGTCGATAAAAATGGCAAATTGCAAAACAAAGTAACTTCAAGTTTTCGCTGTTTACGCTACAGAAATCAAACACACAAATGCAAATTCACTAAGTGTGGCATAAAAGGATGCACCGCGACACATAATCGACTTCCCCACCATAATAAAAAGGAGAAGACAGAGGTCACACAAAAAGAACCTCAGGAAACCGTAGCTAACTCGTTCGCTATGTCAAAGCATCACGCCTACCTAGAAATAATTCCAGTTCGTGTAATTGGACCGGCGGGAGCTGTAAACACACACGCCCTGCTGGATGATGGGTCAACAGTCTCATTGATGGATGAGGAAATTGCCAAACAAATCGGAGCTACAGGGCGGTTGGACCCTTTTAAGATCACCGCTATCGGGAACACTACCCTTGATTCGCCGGACTCCCGAAGAGTCAGTTTCGCTGAAGAGTCTCCACAGAAAAAGGGTGCCATTCAGAGCACGCACGGTCGCCAGCCTAAACTTGGGGCCACAGACTGTGTGTGCAGCAGATATAGCAAATTGCAAACATTTAAAAGACCTGAAGAAGCAACTAATATATGACTCCGGCAACCCAAGGATCCTAATAGGACAGGACAATTGGAGACTTCTAATAGCCACTCAAGTCCGCAGAGGTCCGCCGCACCAGCCAATCGCCTCGCTCACAAAACTAGGATGGGTGCTACACGGGGCACACACTAAAGCCCCGTATCAGCGCGTCCACGCGGCCAATGAGCTGCACACGAGCGAGGAAAATATAAATGATCAACTCCGCGATTACTTCGCGCTGGAATCTCTCATGATCAATCCGAGAAGACCAGACTCCGATCCGGAGAAGAAAGCTGAAGAACTAACAGCACCCGTCAGTTGGAAGATGGGCACATAGAAACAGCGCTTCTCTGGAAAAAGAAAGATGTCGAGATGCCCGGTAATTATGAAACGGCAATAAAAAGGCTCGTTTCCATCGAAAAGAAATTAGATCGAAATGAAGATCTAAAACGAAAATATAATGAACACATGAATTCCCTAGTACAAAAGGGATACGCCGAAATAGCACCGAAAACTTACACACCGGGAAGGACATGGTACCTACCCCACTTCGATGTCCATAACCCGATGAAGCCAGAGAAGTTCCGAATAGTACACGATGCCGCAGCCAAAACAAAAGGGGTGACATTGAACGACTTCCTGCTCACGGGTCCAGACCTACTGCAATCACTACCAGGGGTCATGATGCGTTTTCGCCGCCATAATATCGCTGTCTCCGCGGACATAGCCGAAATGTTCATGCAAATCGAAGTCAGACCCGAAGACAGAGATGCCTTAAGATATCTCTGGAGAGGAGATCGACGCGATGAGGCTCCACAAGAATATAGAATGACGTCGATCATATTCGGTGCAGCTAGTTCACCCTGCACAGCCATATTCGCTAAGAACTGGAACGCCAAAAGGCACATAGACAAGTATCCAGAAGCCGTAGAAGCTATCATCCAAAACCACTATATGGATGACTATCTCGACAGTCTCCAGTCACTGGAAGAGGCAATGCGAATATCGAAGGGAGTGCGCGACATACACAAAAACGCGCACTTCACATTAAGAAAATGGGTTTCCAACGCACCAGAAATTGTAAAAGAATTAGAACCTGACCACGAAACAACTTAGGCAGTCGACCTGGGCAACAAGGGAACCGAAGAGAAAATTACTCGGATTAATCTGGAAACCGAGTACCGATCAGCTGAGCTTCAACCTAATGCTCGCTCGACTTCCAATTGATTTGCTTCATAAAGAACCAACCAAGAGAGAAGCACTCAAAATAGTAATGTCGCTGTATGACCCGCTCGGCCTCGCCTCCCCAGGTACAATACGAGCAAAACAAATACTGCAGCAAGCATGGAGACGAGGAACAGACTGGGACCAGGAGTTGGACGAAGACCTGACTAAACAGTGGTCCACATGGATCCAACACCTGGAACGACTCAAATCAGTAAGCATCCCAAGATGCTACCCGGGATTCAGCGACGCACGTTCATCCAAGTACACGAATTTACCAATGCCAGTGAGAGTGCCCACGCAACGGCAGTCTACTGGAGATCAACGACACCCGATGGGCAAATACACGTGAGCCTCGTTATGGCCAAGGCGAAGGTAGCTCCGCTCAAAGTAACATCTATACCTCGCCTCGAGTTACAAGCCGCCGTGATGGGAAGTCGCGTACCTGCTGCCGTCATCCAGGAGCATGGCGTAAAGCTCGAAGCTGTCACATATTGGACTGACAGCAAAACTGTCCTTACCTGGATAAAAAAGGGGTCCAGAAGTTATAAACCTTTCGTTGCACACAGAATAGCAGCGATCGAGGACCATACTAAGGTGGATGACTGGCGCTGGGTACCTACCAAATTAAACATAGCTGACACCGCTACGAGGGACGTACCACCGAATTTCGACTCAAATCACGAGTGGTACAACGGCTCATCGTTTCTTTAAAAAGAACCGTCAGCATGGCCGACCGAAAAACCCACGTCATCCAAACCGACCGGTGAAGAAAGATCCTTCACCATTACAGAATCGCATAAAGTGCCGCTATTCAGAGAAGCCAATCCCGATCCAGTAAAGTTTTCGAAATGGGAACGCTTCTTGTGGGTTACGGCCAGAGTGCTTCAGTTTATTACACTCTGTCGTAAAACAACAGACAGGACCTTTTACAAAAGGACCAAAAGGAGTAAAGAGGAAAATCCCGACTGGAGGAAATCGAAAAATAATCCGCGGCACCTCGCGCAGCCTCCCAGTCGAGTGAAAAATAAAGATGCAAATAAATACATCACGCTCGAGGCCGAATTCATCAGAGGCCGAAAAGCTCCTAACACGTGTCATCCAAGAGGACTCCTTCAAACGAGAGATAGCCAATCTCCATAAAGACGAAAAGGTCGCCCATGATAGCCGCCTACGATCGCTCCAAATAGAGTTGAAAGACGGGATCATCGCTCTACGAAGTCGCATAGCCGCCGCGAAGGGAGTCTCGGAAGACATGAAAGGGCCAGCTATATTGGACGGTGATCATTACATCACTCAATTGTACATAGACTGGACGCATCGTTGCCTGCATCATTGTGGAACCGAACCTACCATCAATGAGGTTCGACAGCACTATTGGGTAATCCGACTTAGACCCACCACGAA